TCTCATCACTGTGACTGAATGTCTGCAGTAACTGAAAGGATGAATTATTCATGTTGGCTCACAGTTTTAAGGTTATCCATGCATCAGTGGCAAGAAGCAGCTCACAGTGAAGCAGCCAGGAAGTGGAGTACAGGAAGGACCCAAGGCAAGAATAACCTGCAAAAACATGCACCTAGTATGTCTTCCTGCTAGGCTCCACCTGCTGCCTTTTACCAACTCCCAATAATGCTACATTGTGAATCCATGAAAGAGATTAATCCAGCCAGGCAGTGCTGGTGCACCCCTTTAATCTCAGCACTCAGGAGGCAGAGGCAAGCAGATCTCTGTGAGTTTGAAGCCAGCCTGGGCTACAAAGTTCCAGGAAAGGCACAAAGCTACACAGAGAAACCCTGTCTCAGGGGGAAAAAATAGAGATTAATCTATTCACTAGATCAGAGCCTCCACAGATTTAATTTTTCTCCAGAAACACCTTAATAGACACACCCAGAGGTGTGCTTTACAGATAATCTTGGCATTTCCTAATGCAGTCGAGTTGATGACATTCACCATCATGTTCATTGATGTTATAGTGGACACCTCGTGTTGCTTCTTAAGGAATCTTCCCCCTCTGAGAAAAAGGAGGAAAGAAGGTTGGAAATATGGGCTGAAGACTTTTAAACATATGATGTCCCTTTCTAATGCAAGCCTTTTTAATGCAAAATACTGTGGCTTGAAGCAATACCTGTCCTCCATTAGGGTGACTGTCGTAAAAAAGATGGACAAAAACAAGTTGGAGACTTAGAATTTAGAATATACATTTAGTAGGAATGTAAAGTGGGATGGCCACTGTGGGAAACAATCTGGAAGTTTCTCAGGAAAACATCAAGTTAACATGTGACTCATTCATTAAAAACACACCCATGCAGAAACCTATATGTGAACATTCTAACAGCACTGTTCATAATAACTAAATGCTGGGAACAACTCATTGTCCACCAGATAATGAATGGATAAGCTAGTGTGCTATAAAATACCAGAATATAATGAAACAGTACTTGTCAAGAAAAAAAGTGGCATGGTTTACTGATAATAGCTACAATACAGATGAGCCTAAAAAATCTTAGTCTGGTTGAAGAAGCTAATCCTCCCAAGAGCTAACATATATCATATGATTTCATTTGCAAAATGCCATGGATAGGAAGGAGAGAGATGTGGATGTCTGATGACGAGGTGAGGTTTCTTCTTCAAGAGATGGAGGTGTTGTCGCAAAGCTACAGAGTTGTGATGGTCACACAACTTCACAAACATACTAAAGCCTAATAGTAAATTTAAGGCATTTGAGAATTATATCTCAATTTCAACTTTTTAAGCTGAAAAAAAAAAAGTGTTGTTTGTAGAATCCTTGCTTTCCCCACCCCAAGAAAAGCATGTGTTCCATAGATATCGAAGCAGTGAGTGTGCTGAACTTGCTGATTGGCCAACCAGCATTATGGCACTGAAGACTGAAGCCCTTGTCAAACCCAGTTGGAATTATCCACCAAAAAATGACTTGGCCAGAAACAAAGGGTACGGTCTCTCAGTTCTGCTGTCAGGTCCCAGAAGAGCACAGAAATGGCAAAATGAAACATGTGATGTTTGTCGTCAGGGTGAACTGGTACCCACTACGTACACGGAACGTGGCAGCACCAGCTCCAGGACTCTGAAGCCCCTCACGGGCAGTGCCATCACCTGCTTGCATCACTTCCTGCCGGTTCCATGGAGAATTTTCACTGACTTAAAAGTTAAAAAGGCAGGATCTCTGAGACCAGCCTGGTCTACAGAGCAAATTCCAAGAAAGCCAGGGTTACACAGAGAAACCCTGTCTTGAACCCGGTAGTGGTGGTACAAGCCTTTAATCCCAGCACTCGGGAGGCAGAGCTAGGAGGATCTCTGTGAGTTCGAGGCCAGCCTGGTCTACAGGGCAAGAGCCAGGACAGGCACCAAAACTACACAGAGAAACCCAGTTTCAGGAAAAAAGAAAGACAGAGAGAGAGAGAGGAAGGAAGGAAGGAAGGAAGGAAGGAAGGAAGGAAGGAAGGAAGGAAGGAAGGAAGGAAGGGAAAG